ATATTTATATATATTTATATATTTATTTATATATATGTATATATATATATATAAATATTTAAAATTTCCTGGTATCCATATTTAACTACAGATCCTGTACACGGGAGACTACAGTCGAGAAGAGGACAGGCATCTGATGGCGGCTGAGAAGCCACCTACCCAACCGCACATTCTAATTATAGAATCTACCTACGGAGTGCAAGTGCATGAACCCCGCGAGGAACGTGAGGCTCGCTTCACTACTACAATCCACAAGACGGTGGCCAGAGGTAGGTATTAGTTCTATAGAGAGTTGGTGGTAACACTTGTACACACTCTTACGGTCTATGTGTATGTGGCTAGTATCATACACCTGCACCTACGATTTACGATCAGACCAAGTACTGACAGTCGAGCATTGCTTAACATTTCCTCAGTTGTAACTGCAGGCCCAAGGTATGTACATACCCATCCCAAACCTTTTGGGAATTTATTAAATTCGAATTCGGTGCCGATGTGGTAACCTTCCCAGGTGTTGTTTTACTATGAGCTGTAGTTTTAGGCTTTTGACTCGTTTTGGGGTGTTTTCGGCCTATTTTCTGTACCATTTTCTTTTCGGCCGTACATTTCATGTCGCGTGTTTTCGTCTCTGTCTGCAGTTTGGCTTGCCATCTAGTCGCATGCGTACCAGTCCCTTTAGCTGTCTCTAGGCTGTGTAACAGTATCCAGCACACCTATCATCTATCGCCAGGACGGGGGAATTAGTACTACCTACCTACCTAATCATTCAGTACTAATTACCTACTTAATCATTCAGTACAAACTACCTACCTAATCAATCTAACTTCCACAGACTTCTACACGAAGGCTCTCCAGAACGCACAGGTCCACAGCCAATTTCCACATATCAAGCATCCAGAATACGTTCTGCTTCGCGCCTTTATACATCCCTTTTCCTAACTTATCACGCATATTTCCCCAATTCACCTTACTTTATATCCCAATCCCCTGTACCATTGCCCCTCACCCATGTTCGCTCACTCAGGCGGTCGGGTGCTGATTCCGGTCTTTGCGCTGGGGCGAGCGCAGGAGCTGCTGCTGATCCTGGATGAGTACTGGAAGGCCCATCCCGAACTTCACTCAATCCCTATCTACTACGCCTCTGCCTTGGCTAAGAAGTGCATGAGCATCTACCAGACATACATCCACATGATGAACGACAAGATCAGGCGCGAGGCTGCCGTAAGCAACCCCTTTGTATTCCAACACATCTCTAATCTGCGGTCAATGGCTCATTTCGACGATGTGGGCCCATGCGTCATCATGGCCTCTCCAGGTATATAT